ACACTTGGGAGGAGAGGGGACGGCTGGCGGGGTAGTGAGAGGAGGGAATGAGATTGACCTTTTAGACGAACCTAGAAAGATGAAAACGCAATCGGTCGCGGTCTACGAATTCGACCAGTTCAGGGGGATGGAAGCGTTCGCTAACGTAGGCATGACTCAATACGAGATCTGACTACCAGACCCTGGCGTGGTAAATGACTCAACTTGTCACTAAAGTGCAACTCCCTGCCTTCAAAGTAGCCGCTAGTTATTTCGTGGTAAACCACCCTCCAGGAGAGTTCTCTCCTGCTCGCGATGACAAGCTAAATCTGTTACACACTAGTAGCTCTGGTATTTCCTGGATGTGCCAAACACGAGTAGAAATGATGTAACCGCAAGTGGCGCCGCATACCATGCTCATGGTCCAGAAATTCCGAGTCGAACTTCGCTCAGGCAGGCCAAACCTCGTACCCCATTGGGGACGATTAATTGGTGCCAGACCTGTATGGAAGAATGAGGAAAGACACTGACTGGGAGAATGAAGAGAGACTTCGACCGGCTCCGCCACTTCATTGATGAATCATGAGAAAAGATTATTGACAAGAACGCTGCGATTTCCAATATCAAATTTAATGGAGAGCGCATTTGAGAAGGTTATGCAAACAAGCGGAGGGCGTATCCTTTTTATCTCAAACCCGTACAATCCATCAGATATGAGACCGGAACTCTTGTAGTCGGATTAAATGATATATGAAAAACTTGCTCTAATCTTATTGGCATTCATTGCGAACTAGACTAAAAGATAGGTGGCGGATCTAGCTGATGTTCAACTAAGAGTTTTTGTCTTAAGACATATACGTCATGTGCTGAGCCCATGGATGATTGAGGGCTTTTTCCATGTGCCGCTACTTCCCTGCCCTTTCGAGCATACTTTCACATTTACCTCGCTCCGTATCCACCGTGTAATTGACGGCGACTATCGCCATTAAATACTGGGTCGGACATAAGTAGTCGTAGCGCTCCGCATTCGGCAATAAACGTTCAAGGGCTAAACCAACAAGCCATAGCTTAAGCATGATACTGATCAGTGATGTTCTTCTCATCATATATTTACGACTTTGGTTCCATTTCGCAAGAAAAATTACCGGTTTAGAAATCAAAAAAGGGTACTGAGCCCGTTTTCAGAATCCTCATTATTCTCAATTGTACGACGTGAATATGATTTGAAATTAAGGGACGACCGGAGTAAGGTTCGATGATGACGATGGATTCCGAAAAACTCCTATTTTGGCAGCTTTTTTCTCTATATAGATTTTCGCCCACCTTGATTCTCCAACTTCTAAGCGCCATATCTGAGTACACTTACAGTATAGAAGAAAATGCCAAACATGGTATTGTAGAGCAGAAGAAGTACTTTCAAATGATATATGTGATTTCCTGGGTAATACTTGTATTCACTGAATTCGTAGCTCGAAAAAGAAAAACGCTACGATATTATGCTCCAACCCAATAACGGCTACTGTAATCGAAGATTTAGCTAGGAGACTGATGTCACGTTCGATTAGAACAATTGTCGGTGTGCTTCATGATCTTGCAAATATACTGAATGGATCTACTCATCTGTCGAAGCAGTGCTCTTTGCCGAATGTGACACGCCATCCGGTCAACAAATCTTGACTCAGTTATTGGCTAGCATAGCCTGCTCTCATACATGACTGTGAGGTTTAACCGATGTCACATCTCAGTGGCTTCGAGCGATTTTGGAACCAACTGATCAGTTCCCAAGAAGCATTTCCTTGAAACGGGATCACTACCAATGGACCAATTGTGGAACTATGTGTGTGGCGCGCCGCTCTCTATCACCATACGCCTTCGCTCTTGCATAGGCCTTGGTTCCTATGTAGCCTTCACTTGCCATTGAGATATTATCTGATGCTATTGCAAGCTGGAACTAGTAACCGGACAACCGCTGGAGCGACAAAAGTTCCACAGGAACGAGTGAGATTCAAGTCCAAGTAGCTGCAAATTCGATATCGTGCCTCTCTGCTGTGTATCTTTGGTATTATTGGGGCTGATCAGAAGGCGTATCAGATGCGTCTCAAAAGTAAAAACAGAATGCTGTTTGAAGGTCCTGAAAGGTTGAACTAACAACGCTAGACGCTCTTAATTCCATTTAAAGCGACCCATGCTTCAGCTGCATTTACAAGAAACGCCATGCGTCAATTATAAGCGAATCTATCTAGGCTATTGCAAGTATCTTCGCAGTCTGCCATTCTCAGTCCAACTAGACTTTATCATCGATTTTTTTGTTTTTTTTCCCAGAGGTCGCCTAAACTTTTCATAGTATTGTACACAGAGTGAACTGAGCACAATCTATTACCATGAAAAAGAGGTTCGCTTTAATCACTGCGGCGTACTTGTCCTCAGCAATAAGCCCTTCTGCTGCTACAAGCTGTGCTGCAAGCACAATCTAAGCAGGGAATTAGAACGCTGAGTGCCAATGATCGACTTTTGGCTCTTCAGATTTTGCATCGCGTAGGCCTGATTAGTGTCTGTGCACGTTCACGCCTATAAATCTTTTTCGGGATTCAGACAAGTCAACATGCAGACCATAATAGACCACCATATCACAGCTATTCTTGAAAACGCTTACAAACGGTACTAAAAGCTCATAGCTGGACGCCTTTCAGAAATGGCTGCGTTATGGTGTTCGACAATGAAGGAACGACTTTGTTGATCGTTGTTGTTGAGCGTCAAAGGAGTTTGTTCGAGCTCTTCAAAAATTTCACAGTGCTCCTTTCCAAACTGAAAGTAGCTGAGAAAAGCCAGGACTGTCAATCTTTCCATATTTATTGCAATTGCTCAAGCGGTTTCTCCTCTCAAGGGGCTGAACAATATTCGCGCTCTATCAATACATTGAGATGGGATTCCTTTCGTGAACGGCTTCAATAGTGGTTCGTTTGAGCCGTTTTCGTTTGACTAAGACGAGTATCAAGAGCCCTGTTGTTAAGATTCTGGGTCATCTTGCACCCTCCATACCATGCGTTGCGATAGGGAGGAGAAACCGGCGTTCACATCGATTCACGGAAACGAGTCCGTTACCAGATTGTGCAGCTATTGTTTGAGTAACTTATCACTGCGAAAGAACGGAATAACATCAACACGTAAGGAGTGACTAACACTGAAGAACGAAAGAGTAAGGGACACACCAACTGGCAGTCGTGGTCATCACCAACTCGGAAGGTGTCCTTACCGATTTTGCTGTTACTGCTCTACACCATCAACAGTGCGTAGTAGAGTGGGTGATCTGTCGGAACTGTCAAAGATAGATATGCAGTGAGAAGAAGTTCATTGAAAGGTCCATAATCTAACTCATAAGAGGACCGATTGAGCTTGAGAACGGGGAAAGGTCAAGGAAGAGTGGTAGTCTTTTGCCGAGGTAGGGGGGGGGTACCGTCTAAAACTTCGGCTGCGAATTTCGAATCGGCAAATTCCCGTTTGGTGTGCAAGCTAGCATGCGGAATTGATCCGATACTCTAATATGTCGTTGTAGTTTGTTGCCGGAGATCTCTTTCATTTACACTCGAGAAAAAATCATTTCAAAAGTGAATATTGGTTTAATTTTGATGGAAACGACAAGATGTTGAACAATTACGCTAGCACTTAGAAACTAAAAAAATATTCAGAGATGGTAGCGCGATGTGATGTTCGAACACTTTTTAACACGTTGACGACATCGCGCGTTTTGTGCTTTTGCACCGCGTGGGACAAGAGCGATTTTGCGAGCGCCGCCGCCGCACACCAAATCCATGGATTTTGAGCTGTAAATACGCAATACTTAGATGCGATGAAGTGTTTTCAATAATGTTCGATCTGTCTAACTTATCAGGAGTTACAGTAAACCATGAAAGACAAATTTACTTACTTTCCCTTTAGTTTCCAAAATTAATTTGGACGTGGTTGTTTCAGTAAAAACACATATCTTCCCATACGAATAGGTTTGTATTCGCTTCTGTTATTCCTTTTTATCAACATGTTTGTTATGAAAAGAAAACGAGGAATGAACTGAACAGACATATCCGTAAGGTCTGGAAAACGTCTGCCAAACTAAAGAATATTTGGCCTTTCTGTGAGCCATGTGGTTTTTAAGTATGCTAATGTATGACCTATAGAATGAGTACAAAGACCTTAGGAATAAGTCGCACAAGCGCAAGAAAAAGGGATGACTTGGGTGGGACGCGTTACCGCGTCACAATGTCCCACGAGGTGCGCAAAGTGGGACGCGTTACCGCGTCACGCTGTCGTCAACGTGTTAAGCCTTGCCTACACTAAAACACCATGTGTGATGTGCTGGTTCTCTCCATTACTCATTAAATTCTGAGAAAAGCCTCCGACACCTCTACCTTCCAGACTGGAACCTAAACGGGACAGTCCGATCTAATTAATTTGTTAAAATTTTGTAAAAAGAAACGTAGAAGAGAAGCGGAAAATCTTATATAGACACATCTCGAATTTATTTTTGTCCCAGGTTCGGCTTGAAAACCTGGAACACAGTCCGCGCGGCGCAGGAGAACGGGAATAGCAGGCGGGGGAGGGGGGGGCAGACGCAACATATGCTATGATTAATAAGAATGGCCAGCGTCGCATAGATAAAGTGCATTAACCCCATCGCGCACTTTTAGATCGCTACAGTACCATCACCTTTGTGATTCAGGGTCTTGCTACCTCACTCAAGCTCACTCAAGACAAGTTCTCTAAGGGTCTAATCAATACCCGGATCTTAGAAGGTCACCATATGTGACGTCGTAAGACTGTGGGTAATAACACTGACACATTAGAGTGTGGAATATTTCCCAGCTGAAATATATCTTTCTTCGCTTCCATACTAGATGCATAACCATATCCTATAGTCCAAGACCCCGTTAAACCTCTCGGATCAATGAACGGACGCATTTTGGCAAACTTGAAAAGCCGTTCAAGAAAGTTTATTACGACTCATGTTGATTTTAGTTTTTTGAACAATGCCACTTGTTCTTTGGAGTGTACACGATGCGATCTATACACCGCCGGGAATCAACCGTGAGTCTCTGTTCTTTTCAGTGCTAATTGATAAGGACGATGTTAAGAGGTAAGAAAGTGTTAAAAATTGTAGTAAACTGTTTTCTTTGTAAGCTTGTGGGGGAGGGGGCGCCGCGCCACTCGCTGACTTGCTACTTCAACTCAAAAAGTCCGCCTAACTCTATATGTGCCTTATGCTGCCGAGTGCACCTATGAAGGGTTTGCTGTCTAGATTAGGTCGTGAAGAAAGCTCTTGCGCTTTTTGGTGTTTTTCGTTTTTGAACACTTTATTTTGTTACGAGTTCAAGCAAGCTGCCACCGTGCTGCTACATATCGTTTTAAAGAGCTTTTCTTGTTCTATCTAACAGCTGGGCTAACTGTGTTCCTTATTGCTTAGTTGTCATTTTTTGAAGATTTCCTTTTCTAGCTCAAAGCAGGCCAGTATGGAGAGGAAGCAGGTCAAGATATTATAGATGCACTTGGCTGAGACTCGCAATAAATATGGTCTGAAGCAATTGTTCAAAAAGCTTTTGTAAGAATAGCGAGAGCCCCAAAGATTGTGAGGGTGGTGGTCGGAGATTGGAACGCGCAACATATGACCTATATGGTATTTTAGTTGAAATCACTCTTGCACAGACTATTGAGAAGGTTCTCCAGTAATAACGGATCGCACTTGCAATTTGTGTTTTCCCTCGGTTGCTACGGGGAAGAATCTAGAAAGTCCGAGAGAATCAAATATAGGGCGTTAACGGCAACAACGCACCATTTGAACGGTCTTTGCGGCAGTGATAGCCGCTTCTAGCTACGATTTAAATGCCCGTAACACGCCTTATTTACGTTTGCACATCGCAGTGTGGCCGGCAGCGTGCGATCAAGGTATACGATTGCTTGCTGCAGCGTGATGAGACCTTTGTGAATTGACCGGCAGGTCCGGCCCATGGCCTCGCGCGATGCTAGGCCACAAACTTCACAAAAGTGAAGACTTCACCCGAAGAAAGGTTGAGGTGACTTTCATATAGATTCAGCGTTGTCACTAGATTTCTTGATGCTTTCCGAACCAGCGAACAGTTAAGGTGGATAAAGTGCTGGTTGATATATCGCGTCAAACTATACTAGCGTCCGCTGCTGTACTGAGAGAACTCCCCAGAGAGCCGTGCTCTGACATAGCTGGCGTCGCATATTCCTCGTTAACAAGAAGACAGGGCTCCTCCTGACAGGTAGCATCCCGAGACACACATCGCACAAAGCCTCAACCTTAAGAGACAGTAGGTTGACACAGCCTGACGCCCACAATTAGTGCTCACTTTCGCTTACCGTAACCGCTTTTTGCCCACCTTCAGCTGTTACTTTTTCGATCCTGGTATGCTCCTGCACCAGACGATAATGATTGCGAGTATGAAACGCCTCAACCGACGGCCGGACCACCTACCTCCGCGGGTTCATCGCTCTGGTAGAGCTCCATACAGTGCTACCGCGCATCAAGCCGCGGCCGATTCAACGTAACTGTAGTCTGGCAGCACGATACGGCTCAAACAGCGTCCCCTAACTGTCTGGATCCGAAACAGTTTCGAAGTGAGCTGAGTACATTCATTTCAAAATCAAAGGTCGAAGAGCCGCAGAACTTTCTTCACAGCCAACTAAACTACCATCTGATTTTTTCGAATAGCACCATCAAGATTAAAGGATGAGGCAACATAGATTCAGTCATCGTACTATCATCGAGGAAGGGTCTTCCACGCATAAAATAATGCGGCCCGAATATTGTGAGAATACACCATAGTGAAGAGCACTGAGCGTACTCGTCTCTAAGGGTGGCGAGAATGAATGCGTGTTTCGCATGAAGAAAATATGTTTCATCTGATCCCATTTCAGAATGCCCCCTGTTGCCGCACCCGCCATTCTCGTTCGACTTTTAACGGGCTTGCAGAGAAAAACGTTTAGCCGTGATTGAGGCTGCCAACTGGTCTAAGGCGCTAACACACAAGTCGACATGAGTGGTCTGGTTCTCGTTCCAGCCGCTTTTTTCCTTTGTTCCTGCGCCCCCTGACCTACCTTATACCCAATGCAGACCGTGCATTCGCACATTTCGAGAGAGGGGTGCGTAATAGTCTGATTTCTTAGGATGGGGTGTCGTAGTCAGGGTGGAGTTGAGATCCAGTTATTTTAGAGTAGAGATTTATTGGATAATTGGCGGGAGCACTTGCAACATCAATACCGCGCCCTTCGCCCGCGCGCCCCCTCCCCTCGCGCCGCTTGACGCGCGTGTTTGAGAGGACCATAAACGTTGGCGAAGTCGACTGACCTCAGAATCAAATCTATACGAAAAGCCATGAAAGTGCATCGTTTATCGGAGTAGGAGAGGAACTGGCTAGTCGTGGCACAGCGAGGACACACCCTAGTCCAGAAGTCGCCGTCGGTGGTGGCTTAGAGAACCCCTCAAAGCACGCGGAGTGACTCAAAATTCTGAGCTGAAAAGTGCGAAACCTCACGTTGACCGCCTCTTAACGCTTTTACTTCTAGAAGTGCTGTCTTTTTATCTTAATGGCCGCCCTTGACTGGGTTCTGTCTATGCTCCTATACTATTGAACAAGGGTGAATATTTCTGCAATTTTGCACTTTGTTATAATAAATTCTTAACACTGTTTTGTCGTATTCTCTTCTGAGTGTGATGTAATTGATTTTGAAGAGCGTGCTGCCTCACATTCACTCCTCCTAAGCAAGTTGTCGTGTGGTACGGAACGCAGACTGGTAAGTGGTGCTCATTCTTTGCGGTGCTAAATCTCATCGTAGAACCATTCTTGAGTGTGACATAACTAACTGCTTACTAGAAGTAACGTCATTTTTCGCAGGTGGCACGCAGAACCGGCCAAGAAAAGGTGAGATCATTTCGAACGTGGCGTGGCAACGCGACAGGCCCGGCGTAAAGATTACATGTATTTTTTGTTATTTTTGTTCCTTTTCATTGCTGTTAATATCTGACAATGAGGTTTCGTCCAAAACCGCTCAATACCCATGAACAAAACGAAGATAACTATTAGTATAGCGCTGTAGTAGAACCATTGCGCTACTCCGCTTGACGGCTGGTGGTAGACGATACCGCACTGCTACTGAGTCACGAGAGTCGAGGAATTTGTTAAGCCAGGGGATGTAGCCAGTTTAGTGGTTCAAACGAGAGAAGGGTGGGGTTGGAAGGCAACCATTCTACATGCGCAAAAACAGGGTAATGCAGGATAACTTTTCCATTTGGGAACATCCAGGCCACGAAACATGCCCCATAACATACAGTTTCCCGAAACAGTTTCTCTTTTTAGGCATCCAGACCAGGAAATCTTCAGCAGTCGCCGCAGATGATCCCATCTGGGTATCAACAAGGAGTGCAGCTCCAATATCTCCCACGTATTATCTCCATCAGCACACAACAAACGAATGGCGCCTTCCGCACCGACCCCTCAAATTCGCATCCTCAATAGCAGGAAAAACTTGGCATGGTCAAGGTGCTAGTGCAACTAAATCAGCCCTGGAGGGGTACAGTATCAACCAATGAGCCAGGGTAATGGAGGTTACAATGGAGCAAACACAGGATTCCAAACCGTAACCATTACTGGCTATTCGCAAACCGGAGGTGGCTTCAGGCCGACTGCCAACCAAGCGTCAAACCCTTCAACCTTCCCCTCGTCACAAGGAGGAACTCAACAAGCCTGGAATTCTCAGTCATACAATGCTGCTTCCAGTGCATATACTCCCAATCAGCCTGGGAACGTTAACGCAGGGGGTCAGAACCAAGGTTCGTATTTTCCCCAACAGCCCCAAAGAGATGACCAGATAAACAGCATGGGACAGTCACCTAGCCATACGAGGGTCCTCGAAAACTACAGTGGATCAGCAGAGACTTGCAGGTTCGTCCCAAATGGGCGGATGCCTAACGACAGCTTCCCCGCCTTTCACGCAGGCCCCCTATTCACCGTCCAATGTCCCCAATCAGGGAGTCTTCCCCACTGCACCTATTAATGTCTATACTGGGGAAATGTCCACCACCAGCGCCGGAACTCAAGGATATCAAACAGGCTCATCTGGAATGCCGTATACGTCAACGCCATTTCCATACGGAGCTACTCAGAACCCAAATCAGGGACTTTCTTCTCAAGGTGCCGTGAATCCTAACCAGGTTCCATACGGTGCTTCTACAGGTACTTTCCAAGGAACTCAGCCCGGTAGCAGTACGGGCGCTGGGCAATTCACACCTGTTCCGTATCAAACAAGTGGCACTCAATCGACGAGCGGGTTCACCTCATCTAGTCAGCAGTACACAAACCAATACGATCCGACTCGAACTCAGACGACTATGTATGGCTCTACGTCACCCACTCAGTCACCTCCTTCAAATTATCAACCAAACAATCCTCAATCTCAACCCCCGCCAGGATTCACATCGTCCAGTCAGCAGCCTTCATACAATTATCAAACCAGCGGACCTCAAGGTCAACCCCAAACTTCTCCTGCTGGCTTCGCGACATCGTCTCCACAGCCTTCGAATAACTACCAAACAGGTGGTCCCCAAGGCCCGCCTCTAGACTCTTCAGCGGGCTTCAGCTCATCAACTCAACAGGCTCCATATGGCTACCAAACAAATACCCCGAGTAGTCAAGCACAACCATACTCCAATGGATTTTCACCCTCTACACCGCCGTCATATGAAGCAGGTGGAGCTCAGGGTCAGGTTCCTGGCTTCACATCGTCTACGCAGCCAAGCTACGCAACGACCGAACAGGATGCAAATGGGGTAAGCGCTCAAGTATCGGTCTCTTGTAAAATGTCGCTAAAAGTTTTCATTAATAATTTCACCTGAATAGCTGTACGGGCAGAATGCTTTTGGAGACTTTGTACATCCGGCAGCACAGCCACAGCAGCGACAGTACTCAGCAGGACAACCCGGTCTTCCAGTAAGTTTGTATTTTATCACAACTTGTGTTAAACATATGGATTCCATTTTTTGCATTTTCGAGCAGTTACCCTCACGTCAGTGATAGCAACACGAAACTGAGATGGAAACTCGCGTCCATGTCAGAATATTTCCCCTTCAGAGACTCTTTCGAAAGCATGCATCTTATCACAAGGGTCCAAGAATTCTGGTTGAAATGATTCACAGAGAAAATGCAGTGGTACGCCAGCGGGGAGCATATGTATACACAAGTGTCGGTATGATTTGATAAAGCCAAAGCGCTGTGGGCTCAAGGGCAGAATTGGCGATGAAAAGTTAGCCCATTGGCAATGAGGGTAGAGGTGGTCAGAGGAGCTGGGATGAAAAAGACACCATTTGAAAAGGCCCAAGAAATAGGACGCCTCTTCTTACCCTTCTTTGACCTTCGTTCTTATCGTGAATTCCTCCATTAAGATATGTACAGCATTGCCTCTCTCAGCTCCATTATATCCACCTACTAATCAGTGCTAACTCCCTCTTCTCCACTTCTGGAGGATGGGAGGGGGAGGGAAGGCGCTTAGATTTCATATTTGTCGGTATCGTCCTTCACTACAATTAGTTAAGCTTACATTCACATTTAAAGGACGAATTTACGATGGAAAAGCAACCCATTCCAAATTGAGGTAGAGATGGTGAGTAGTACCAGAAAGAAAGCGAAACCACGAAAAACGGCCCAGAACCGGAGAAATGGGACCCCTTCCTTGTCCGTTGATTTGAGCATTGATGGGACTCTCATCGCTTTGCTTCAACCCTACGCTCTCTCAGCTATCTAATCACTCGCCACCTATTGTACTACGGCGAGTGATCAGACGATCGGTGGGCGGAGATCGCCGAACTCGCCAACTTTGAGCCATGCTAGATCTCAGAGGTCAAATCTTTCGATGCCGATTGCGTGTCTGTCCGCACCCTCAAGAGATTCACCGCTCTCCCCACTAGGCGATTTCTCCCTTCTTCGACCTTCGTTCTTTCCGTGCAATCCTCCTTTAAGTCAAACAAGTGTGGTATACGAAGTTATGTTGTCCGGACCTTGTCTTTGAGCGAGATATTAGAAAATACATAGTAGATTGAGTTATATGGCTATTGTAGTGGTGTATTAGAATTTGGGAAGCATTTGCTTTTCAGGTTGGATCCCAATACGATCTCAACGGAGCCGCAAACGTGCAATACGGAGGTTACGACAATAATTTAGGTGAGTTACTCGTTTTGACCTAGAAATGAAAAGAAAGAACTCTAATCGCGAGAATTATCCAGTCTTTATGCTTAGATCAGGGTAGCAGCTTCATTATTTGCTCTGAAGGCATTAGGAAAAGGTCCTTGAGGGTTTTGAGGGACGAAATTAAAAACAAAAAGGGTGCTAACGTTTACCGCAACGCAGTTGGTGGCACCCGCAACATTCCAGTCGAGTTGCTCCAGTTGGATCGCTGCTGGCATTGCAGCTCGCCCAAATCAGCAACTAACCAGTGGATGGAGCGCTTTTCAAACACTGCTCAACACCAAACGCACCTTTCGTCGTGAAAGTGCCACCCTCGCTTTCTCGGCAGCCGAGCTAACCTTCCATTTGCGTGTACTTCCTGAGGCGCTTGGCGTCCTTTATCGTAATCGTTCAATTTGAGGAAGAACTGCGAGCGGTCGTCTAGCCCCATGGGACTGGAGACCATGAAAAAGGGTTGTGGGCGGACAAGTACGTAGCGATAAATAGCGCAATGAGGATGTGCGAGAGCGGTTTAGGGTCTAATTGAGAGCATATAGGAGAGCATTCAAAATACGATAACAGCATTCAAAATTGTAGTATGTAGGGTTTAATGAAGAGAAGGGTCTGATGAAGAAGGCAATCGAGACCACATGGAGCCTGAGGAACAACAGGGAAAAGAGACCTCACTGAGGACAATGTGAAATGAAGGAGGCTATACAGGAGATACAGGTCACATCAACGCGAACAGCGCCTCTACGACTGTGCGCAACTAACACTAGAGAGAAGAAGAATAACGAGGCGTTTCGCATCATCGTGGCTTGATGGTCCAGCTACATAGGATTGGGAGAGCTCCGCTTTATAAGAGCCATTTTGCATAAAAATTTCATGAGAAGCTTGACCGGCTCAAGCGCGGCATCACAATTTTCAGGAAGATGAGGAGGAATGCAGCGGGTGAAAAGCCTGCTATCGCATCAATAGATCGAAACCTGCCCAAACAGTCTGTACCGATATTGATCCCATGGTCTATTATTAAGAGTTTTCATGAACGTAGTGGAAATTGAGGCAGCTTTGCCAGTGTTCCAAAACTAAAACGTCTTCAAGTGCTTTTACGAGTTTGAAAGAGAGTCCAGTACGTAGCGCAGACCAAAAACTAACTAACCAATGGCCAGAGATGCACTTTGCGCCCCGCCTCATACGTAACTTCTGAAGAACCTTCCATTCAAGATGAACCGATCATTGTTCATTGATCAAAGTACCATCCTGGGTCCTCGGTTGAGGTTGGCGGACCTACTAAGCTGGTATCCGGAGTCGCGATCCCTCCCCGCGGCTTGCAGTGTTTGGCCGGGGCACTGCCCTTCCTCTTCCTTTCGACCCATACCCCCTCCCCCTCATTATGCTTCTGTGTCATGTAATCATGACTCTTCTATTGTTAACTTGCTACTTTTCTATGTCCTCATTGTGATAATTACGGCACAATAGTTGAATAAATAAATAAATGAATAAATAAAAGTGAGGAATAATTAGGCCAAAAATTAACTAACCAATGGCCATTATCATTACAGAAGAAAGCCTTTCTTTTAGAACGCCCAGGACAAGTATAAGAGCTAGGTTATTCACTTCAACGGGCAGTTATTGAGTATACAAACCGGTCCAAAAAATGCATACCTAAAAGTACAGCTCAATTCAAAAACATCTGAAAGGCTTCATCTGAAATGAGAACATTTTGTGACGTCATCGGCATGGAGGTTTTCTTATCTAGTTTTCCAACCTAACTCATATCAACTCTTATCACCTTGTATCACTACTTATTCTGTTCCGTTGTCTTTTTGAGTAGTTTTGTGCTGCATGAAGCCAGGTCGATGTTTCCTTCGTTGGGCTCTCATCGTTATATACTATCCCCTATGTGCCCATGACATACGCTATAAATAATAAATAAGTAAACAAACAAACAAACAAACAAACTTATAATATGTCACGAGTATGCCATTATTGGAAATTATTCAGGCAGTGCTCAACTTTACGATGCTCCATACAACTCTGCTCCAACTACAAAAGGTGAAATGCTTCTTTGTCTCTGATTTGTTGAATTCAAACCAGTTTTTCAGCGGGAATTCTCTCAACCATTCTGGCCGTTACCTGACATATTTGGTGTTGTGAAATGGATGAATGGACATGAAAACCTGTTCGATTTCTGTATATAGGGAATCACGATTGAGTAGATTACGATAGATCGTAACCGCCGCCCGCAACGATTCTCATCCTCAAGGCACGTGCCTGCCGTTTG